CAAAGTTCACCTTTTAAAACATGTTACACCCATATTTAGGGTGTAAACATGCTTCATTTCCCCCATCCCCTGTGACAGCGAGTGAGAGATATCATATTTCCCCCGGTACAAATCATTAGTAAGACCTCATCTGGAATATGCAGTTCAGTTTTGGCCACCAATTCACAAAAAGAACATTGGGGAACTGGAGAAAGTACAGAGAAGGGCAACCAAACTGATAAGAGGCATGGAGGAGATCAGCTATGAGGAAAGATTTATTCTCTCTTGAGAAGAGGAGATTAAGGGGGGATATGATCTCCATGTATAATACATAAGAGGGGATATGATCTCCATGTATAATACATAAGGGGGGATATGATCTCCATGTATAATACATAAGGGGGGTATGATCTCCATGTATAATACATAAGAGGGGATATGATCTCCATGTATAATACATAAGGGGGGATATGATCTCCATGTATAATACATAAGGGGGGATATGATCCCCATGTATAATACATAAGGGGGGATATGATCTCCATGTATAATACATAAGGGGGATATCTCCATGTATAATACATAAGGGGGGATATGATCTCCATGTATAATACATAAGGGGAGATATGATCTCCATGTATAATACATAAGGGGGGGATATGATCTCCATATATAAATACATCAGTGGTCCATATAGTGAACTCGGTGTAGTTATTCCCCCTGAGGTCATCACAGAGGACAAGGGGGCGCTCTTTACGTTTGGAGGAAAAGAAATTTAAATCTCCAAACACAGAAAGGTTTCTTCACAGTAAGAGCTGTGAAAATGTGGAATAGACTCCCTCAAGAGTTGGTTGTGGCCAGCTCAGTGGATTGCTGTAGGAAAGTCCTGGATTCTTTCTTGGATACACAGAATATAACTGGATATAACATTTATAGGTAAAGTTGATCCAGGGAATATCTGATTGCCTCTCAGGGGATCAGGAAGGAATTTTTTCCCCTGCAGGAGCAAATTGCATCATTCTTTGCTGTTTTTTTTTTTTTTCCTTCCTCTGGATCAACTGTGGGTATAGGATTATAACTTTTTTTTTTTTCTTAATGGTTGAATTGGATGGACTTTTATCTTTTTTCAGCCAGACTAACTATGTAACAGCGAGTAAGGGTTCCTCTCTCCCACAGTTGAGGTCATATTTTAAAATCAATCTGCCACCATGGCAGACAGCTTGTGGTTCTCGATGGACTGCAAGATGAGTACCCTGCCCCTCAATAGTCCAATGACACTGCCTACAGCTTTAAAACGAACAGCCCATAATGAGCTATCAGCAGTGTGCAGGAGCCCAACTTTGTAGCTGAGATCCACTACTTGTCATCAAAACTAAAAAATACAGTGTGCTTGGTGTCTCTCAAGAGGCATCACTATACATACACAGCTATGGAGGGCAGAACAAGGCTCCAGATTCAGCAGAAAAATCTTTTGTATCCCCCTCTGTTTCAGCTTATTATGCATTGCCAATACCATTAGTTATATTCAGAGACTAAACAGTGAAGGAACCCATTGCATCAACCTTTGAATAGTTTGCTCATCTGACTAGAAAAGAAAACAAGCTTCTCATGCTGTCAAATGTTATTGCCTCTTCGCCCACAAGAAATATGCAATCTTTTATCAATTAAAAAAATAAATGTACAGGCGTACCTCGGTTTTTGAACGCCTCAGTTAACAATTTTCAGTTTACACATAAAAATCCATTGAAAATAATGCCTCGGTGTACTAATTTTTTTTCGCAATACAAAACGGATTAAGTGGTTTTCAATGAATTTACGACTTGTTTTTTAACTCCTTCACGCCTAAGGGTAAATCTAAATGCCTAAGCACAATTCTGCAACGTTGACATGTGTTAGTAAAACCGTACATATCACAACTACTTTGTACATCCCGGTGAATTATACCGCGTTTTTTTCAGGACAAATTGGGCTTTCATTTGGTGGTAAATGGTAATGGATAGCTCCTAATTTTTTTTTTTTATTATCAAAGGAAAACTGCCCTAAAATAGTAAAAAAAAAAATCATTTTATTTAGCTGTGTGTTTCTTGTTACGACCATAACCTACCTCCATAGAACAACCCAAAATAAATTCTCCAGCTCTTGACGATCGCAGCGATACCATATATGTGTATGTTGTTTGGACCCGTAGTACAGCCCATAAAAAATAGTGCACATTTTATGTCTTTTTTTTTTACCTAAAACACAGTGACATTAACACTGACACCAATTTTTTTTAAATCCTGACCTTTGACCCAAACACTAACCCTGGTACTGAACTACATCAAACCTTGATCTAGGTATTTTTCTTTATTTTTAATATTTTTTTTTTTTTTACAAACATTTTTTTTTATCTCTCTATGTCAGGAGTTAGAGAGATACAATGTATCTCTCTTCTCCAGTCATAGAGAGAAAAAACAAGGGGGCCGGGCTGCACAGTGACTGATCACTGTGATAGCCAATCAGAGGCTATCACAGCAGTCATGTGACCTGGAATCGGGAGTCCCGGGTCCCGATCGTTAGAACAGGACCCGGGGCTCTCAGTGACACCACAGTCTCTGTGCTGGGAGTGCGCCGCACAAAGACAGGTACGCAAATATGTGGCCCTATGGAAAAAAGCCCAGTTCCATGAGGCCGCATATTTGTGTGCCATCAGCGTCAAGGGGTTAATCATGTCCCTGTACAGTATTTATGCCTTTAGAGTGCACTTTATAAAGTTTTGAACAGATGACTTTTTTTTTTCCTGACCTCAGGAACAGATTAATTGGTTTTCAATGCATTCCTCTGGGAAACCAAGTTTCGGTTTACGAATTCTTCACAATACGAAAAGTCCTGCAGAACGAAATTAAATTTGTAAACCGAGGTACGCCTGTAATTGGAGTTTTAAACCTATTTTGTGGGATAGAGAAAATACAGCACTTGTGTACTCACTGAAAACAACCTTGTCTCTATGGTATGGAACAAAGACAATAGCTACTGTACCTGTAAAAGGAGTCTCTGAACACTTACCTTTCCTGACACCCATGCCATTCAATGCTGCTGCAATCCCCAGACATTTTCTGAGACACCAAAAACCAACACACCCAGGAGTGTTGGTTTCCTGTGGATTAGAGCAAGGTTCAATGGCGTGGGCAGCAGGAAAGTTAACCCCTTCACGCCGGATCGTCCCAGCATGAAGAGGAGTTCCTGCGCCGGGAGGTAGGCGGGCTTAGTGTCATGTGGCCGCCGTGACGCCGGTCACATGATCAGGAAAGGTCCCGATCAAAAGAGCGGACCGGGACCTTTCCGTGAGTACCGCACATGTGTGCTGGGAGCGCGCAGGGCGCGTGCTCTCAGCACATATGTTTTTGTTACATGAACGCAAATGTGCGGCCGCTCAGCGTCTATGCCCAGACGCCGGGAGGCCGCACATTTGCATGCGGCCGGCGTGAAGGGGTTAAAGAATAACTCCACTTTTGTTTGACAAAAAAAAAATTTCTCCTCTGGGTGATCTATGTACATTGTAAGGTTTTTAACAAACGTTGTTGCAGATTCCTACCTTTTGCTATCCTGAAAGAGTAGCTGTTTGTCCGTGTCCATGTGCAGAGTGAATCTGTATGGGAGTGACTTCATAATTATCAATCAGCTGCTGCACCTGCAGGCCTTGGAGGAAAGTGGCAGGGTCTGCCTCCCTTTGGATGCGATTTGCCTTTTTTGAGCATCTCACCAAAAATTACATTTTTGCAGCCAGGGATGCCCAAAATCTGACATGTATCTTAGTGCAGACTTCTGGGAAAAGCAGCCAGCCAATCACAAAACAGGAAATGACATTTCTGGGGGGCATTCTGTATACCATCTATGCACAGAACACCTTCAGGTAGCCATATTGCATTTTACAGAAAATTACAGAGTTGCAGCTTGAAAAATAAAAAAGGTAATTTTTAATACCATTCAGCTACAATGTGACTTGTGTCGCAATTGTGCACGCTTTAATATGTGATTTTTTTTTTCCAGTGGAGTTAACCTTTAAAAGCAATTTTCACCTTTCGGAACATGTTACATCTTCCAATCGTTTTTAGGGTATAATATGTTCCAGCTCCTGCCACCAGTTCCACAGATTCCCCCCCCCCCCCCTAGTGTGACAGCGGGTGGTCATGAGAGAATCCGCCCACACAGCCGCATCAGTGAGTCAGTTTCCTGTGAATGAACTACAAGAACCATTATCCACTGCAGTTGCCAGTTTGTAGTTCTGAATGAACTGTGAGGGCGGCTGATGAGTGCTCTTGTAGTTCATTCACAAGCCCTGCAACTTTCAAAACAGCCAGCCTGCATAAAAGGTACAGGCTGAAAGCTGCAAGGCTTGCCATTGCACCCTTGATCTGCTGATTACAGGTGCAATGCTTTCCAGGCTCCTACAGGAAAAAAAAATACTAAATGCACATTTTTTTCTGCAAAAATTTGCACATTCACTTATCTTTTAACCTCCCTAGCGGTCTGATTATGTCAGTATTTCTGTGCTCAAAGCAGTACTTTTTGTTTTTGCATGGAAATATGTATTTTTTTTATTGTAGGCCTGTAATTTTTAGGAATAACTCACTGAAATCTGTCCAAAACAAGAGTCTAGTAAACATCCCGGGTATGATAAAATTTGAAACACAAAATCATAAATTATAAAATAATAAATAATCATAAAAATAATATAATAAATTTTATTCAATAATATAATCAAACCAAAATCACTGAAATTTGAAATAAAGCGCCAAGTTCGCAAATCACTGAGCAAAGGCGCAAAATCGTTTTCAGTGTCTGATGATGAATTTCCCCCACGAATCATTATCACTCAATTCTGCAAGTGGTTCTGATTTACTATCGCTGTTCTCTAGCCGGTCTAAAACTGCTTTTGACCCAAAGGGGCGCTTTTTGGACGCCATGGACGTTTCTCAGTTTCCAGGCAGAAAGAACAGTAAAAATGCAGGCAAGGCGCCGGACAAAGCACTCGGGACAAAATGTATGTGAAATGGTTTGATACAGGAATGTTATACTATGTGATTTTAGTGAATCTCCTAGATTGTAAGCTCGAAAGAGCAGGGCCCTCAATCCCCTCATGTTTTGCATTGTATTGTTATTGTTCTGTCACATGTTCTGTCCCCCTTTGTAATGTACAGCGCTGAGCGAACTATTGGCGCTTTATAAATACTGTATAATAATAATAATGTCACTTTTTGTCATTTTCAAATTTCCCGCCGGTTCCGTCCCCCGTACATCCCGACGCTCGCAGGGCACGGAACCCAGATGACAGATGCCGGCATCCGCCAGAGGACATTACAGGGGACACTGCAGGGGGGACATCGCGGGAGCGCAGGACAAGGTAAGTGATCGAGGGATCCCGAAGCAACGCTGCAGTGTATTCCTGAGTGTAGTTCGGGGTTACCGCTTGTGGTGCTGAAACTTTACCCCGAGCTACACTCGGGAATACCGCAAGGGGGGTTAAGCATCTACTGACTTATTTTATAGGTGTGTCTTCATTTACGGTATATGCAGTAGCGAGAGGGATACCTGAACGTCAATGTATTTTAAACACTCCTGAAATACTAGAAAAACTAAATCTGTTTTCATTCTTTTCTCACAATCCCTGAACAGCTCAAATCGCAAAAGGTAGAATATTCAGTAAGAACAGGGTTCTTCAGCAATGACTAGCTCTTTGGCCTACTAGTGGGCAGCATTCACTCCAGTGTTCAGTGCTGCTCCCAACTAGCTTACAAAGTAGACCTCCCTTTACAAGCCTGATACAACTTTCAGCTAGCTGGCACATGACAACCCAATATATACAAAAAGGACAGTGTTACAGGACAGAGAATTACATGGAATTTAAAAAAGAATTGAAGGGATAAACAAAGGACCTCAAGGCATGATATGTGTTTTATATAGAGTTGTCTTGAGTTTTATTTTGATGAAACAGGACACATAAGGAATCACAAATGACAAAGCTGCCATCCCATTTGTCACAACAGTAGAGTTAGGCTTTAATTTAGAGATTTCACTCCTGTCTCCTCTGCTTTAAAAAAAAGAAACATACAATTGTAGATAAGGCCTTGGAGTTGGAAAGCATATGGTTGTGATCACAAACATTGACATGTCAGAATCTGTACAAGTGGTTCCTGCATAGGCCACAATAGTGCAAATGACGGATGTCCTACAGTGAAAACCATTATAGAACAAAATGATCTAACTCTAAATTTGTAAAAAATAAAACTCTTCGTAAAGTAGAAACACTTTATAAATAAGTTACTCATCACGGTATACAAGAATATATAGGAAATATCCTAATTTATTTAAAAAGAAGAAAAAAAAAAGTAAAATTCCATTTGCCGGTAATTTTTTTTTTTTTTTTGGGGAGTTCTCCATGACAGCACCCGAATAATTCTCTTTTTATAAGAAGCTTTGCTGTACGGAAACACCAAGCTGGTTTGGAAGAACAGGGTTGAAATGCACCAATTCAGTCTTAAATTGGGAATCTCAGGTGTGTGTGCTGTCAGGGAGAATAATGAACTGGAAAAAATAATTTGGGGTTAAAGTTAACCTGTATTGAACAAAAGCAAATCATCTCAAAAATCAGGCAGCCCAAGCTGCTTGTATCCTACCCCCCTTTACCACAAGCCTTTAAACCTAAGGGGTGCCATATGCAAATATTGCCCAAGAGCAAACTTTAGAGCTGGGGCTCCTTTAAAGTGGAGGTAAGCCTAACTTAGAAACTTTAACTGGCAAGAAGATATTACATAATTGTGTCAGTCAACATCCAAATTGTAACTTTTGCCCTTGCCTAGAGATCCCTTTACGTTGTGATGGTTGCACATGCAAGCATAACTAACTCCAGCATATGCCGAGATGTCATCCTCTAGCTCAGAAAATGCACTTCTCACAAACCTCCCAATTCTTAAAGCAGAACTAAACCTATCGATTTACCAGTTTACCAAAAAAAAAAAACCCAGTTCCACGTGCTGGGAATGTAACTGTCACATTGGTTGTACTCTCAACCAAGCCTGTCAAACCATCAAATGGCTGGTGTCTTAACTGCTCGTGTGCAACATCATGGCAGTTGAAGATCTGATGCCAAGATGGCAGCTTCCTTGGCTGAATTCAATAGGGGGGTTTAGTTCTGCTTTAAAAAGTCCATGTGACCGGCGACATCCCTGGGCTTAATTACTCTTCAAATGTCACCAATTTTTTCCTGTCTGCATTTTATGCACCAAATTTAGATCTGGAGGGCAGAAACAGTTGTAGCGGAGAGTAATGACTGCTAACAGAAATGATGCTTTGTTGTAATCATGTGTGGAATGTAGACTAGGCACTTGTATAGTTTTGTGAATGGTGGTCTGAATTTATGGAGCTAGTCTGCTGGGTTTACTTCCACTTTAAAGCATAGAGCCCCTCATATCAGAGGTTCCTGGAAAAAAATATGCAGGTCCCTTGGAGGTGCCCATTCTTAAGCTATAACCATGTTATAGGTTTAAAGTTCCATAAAACTTTTATGCCTTCGACAAACTTCCTGTAGGTGGGGACCAAAAACTTGTCATCCCTTAAGAGCTGGAGGCATTATACCATTACTGATTACTTCAGTATGCTGAACATATACATTTAACTACATCTCCACCAAAGCCACCACTGTGTCCAAGTGCGTTTCTGTGGCTCCCGTGCTGTCAAATATCACAACTGCCTCTTCTGTGGTGGCTTCTTCTGTACTGTGAATAAACACAAGTTCCTGTCCATGATTTAAACTAAAAGCTGGAGTGACCCCACTCACATTCAAGCTTCCCGTGGTGAAAGTGTTGGTGGTAGGGATCAAAGTGCCTCCCACCTCCACAAAGGACACCTGGGGGGCTTCTCTGCACATTGCCTCAGCTAAAGTTGTTGGAACAGAAGTACTGATGACAGTTCTTGGGTCATCCACCATCTGTGAACAGTCAACAGAAACTGGACTGCCATCGCAAGGTATTTCAGAATCAACTGGTTCGGTCTGCTGGTCACAGGCTGGAGAAAGGTTTGCAGAAGGCTCTGCTTCATCGGTCTCCTTTGTGTTTTGGATGGCATGAGTTTGGAGACTCAGAATCTCCTCTGCAAACTGACAGGAAAGATTGAGAGGAAGGTCCTGGGAAGTATCTGTGCTTTGTGGAGAAGGCAAGGGTTCCTGCAAATCCTCATTAGTCTCAGTGTCCGTCTGTGCTTGCAGACTCTCTGTGCCTTCCACCAGTAAATCATTCGGTGCAATAGCAGTTGCTTGTTCCAATGCTTCACTTTCAGTGGCAGTACCAGAGTCCGTTGTTGAATGGAGTGTCACTTGATTGTTACCAAGCTGTTCCAGATCTGTTTAATAAAGATCAGAAATTAAAGAAGAACGTAAAGATCATAAAAGGGGAACTTTTGTTTGTTGTTTTTGGTGACATGCATCACCCTTCCATGTGCTCCTTGATGCAAAGACCAGTTAAATGTTGGGGTGGTTGCGATTTGTTTGTACTGTTGGTGAGGGGACGCATTGGATACCTTTTGCTGCAATTGTGCTATTGCTGGGTGTCCAGTGTGTCCCTATAGCTTTAACCAGTTGCCGACCGTAGGTAGTCAAATGACGGCTGCACTGCGGCCGGCCAGTTCTGGGAGGCAAGTCATATGACGTCCTCCCAGAACATGCTCTCCTGCGCGCCCCCCCCGGCAATCCCAGTGTCCTACGAACACAGCTGATCACGTGATGTGGTAAAAGGCCAATCACAGCGGCCTTTTACCATGTGATCAGCCGTGTCCAATGACACGCTGATCACCGGGAAATGCAACTGCCAGTTCTCGGCTGCACTTTCCTCACGCTTTCAGAGCGTGAGGAGAGTACTGCCGAGAACTGGCAGTTGTCAGAGCAGGGATCGGCACCGATCATCAGGGCACTGATGATCGGTGCCCAGCACTGCCCAACAGTGTCACCCACCAGTGCAGCAAGTCAGTGCCCATCAGTGCAGCCTCATCAACGCACTTCAGTGAAGGAGAAAAATTACCTGTTTGCAAAATTTCATAATAAACCAAAAAAAAATGTACTTTTTTAAATTTTTTGCTCTTTTTTGTTTATAGCACAAAAAATAAAAACACCCAGCACTGAGTAAATACCACCAAAAAAAAAAAAAAAAAAAAAAGGATAAATATATCACACGAGTACAATGTTGCACGACCGCGCAATTGTCAGTGCGACCGCGCTGAAAGCTGAAAATTGGCCTGGTAAGGAAGGGGGTATAAGTGCCTGGTAGGCAAGTGGTTAAAAGGAGGGTTGGGCTCCTGCTCTCAATCTATCCTTTATTATATATGTGCTCAAACTTCGGAGACTCTCAAAATTTATAGTTAGGACTGCAAATACAGGAGGTGCCTTGATGTGGTCTCTCTAGCTTACACATATTTGAATGTGTGGAAAGTCAGCTGGGAATTTGTGTTTTTTTTTTTTAACACACACACCAAAGGCCAGTTATAGGTTGGGGAGGTTGCCATTTTTTTGTACTGTTGATAATTAAAAGTTCACATTTAAAGAAAAATAAATAAACCCTTATTTTTTGCAGAAAAACAAATGTGCATTTATTATTTTATTTTTTTCCTGCAGGAGACTGAAAAGCATTGCACCCAAGATCATTGGATCAAGGGTGCAATGTCAAGCCTTTGCCGATAACCTCTGCATCTTTCAGCACATACCTGCAAACGGGCTGTCAGACACAAAGCTGTTGGGTTTGAGACTGAACTACAAGTGCGCATTCATCCAGAACTACAAGCCGTCAGCAATGGTGGCTGACAATTACTTGTAGTAAATTCACAGTAAACTATGGGACTGTTTTTGAGTTGCAACAGCAGGTGCGGTGAGAGGCTTCCCTGCCACAGAGGCAGGGATCAGGGGGCCAGGCAGCAGGTGCTTGAACATGTGACATGTTCCACCCTAAATATGGATGGAACATGTAACGTGTTAAAAAAGGTGAAGCTATCCTTTAGAATGCTGAAGCTGAACTCCAGGGAAAACAAAGTACCAGAAAAAAAAAAAAAAAAAGCTTCACTTACCGAAGCCTCCATGCCCCCATGCTCTTAGACTAATCCCAGCAGCCTCTTCTTTCCTATGCTTTGGCATCTGCAGGTCCTCTGAGGTTATCAAGTATAATGCAGGACAGAGGTACAGTCTACTGCCAGAGTGCATGGGGAGGAGAGAGCTGGCTGGGCAAGGGATCAAGTAAGGCTGGTCATACATTATACAAATTTTCTCAAGATTTTTGGTTTAGATTTACCAAAAACCATATACCGTATTTTTTGCTCCATAAGACGCACTTCCCCCCCCCCCCCCAAAAAAAAAGGGGGGGGGGGATAGGAATGTCAGTGCGTCTTATGGAGCGAATATAAAGCGGCCGGGCCGGTATTTCCGCCGCCACCATGTCAGAATACCGGGCCAGCCGCTCAGCTGTTCTCTGCTGCAGGACCTTACCTGTTCCTCGGTCCAGCGCTGTGCAATCTTCCAGCGCCGGCATCGGTGACAGCCGGGTGCCCACTGCGCATGCACAAGAAGCGCTGCGCTTTGTGAATGGTCCAGCGTCTTCTGGGACACATGACAGGTCCCAGAAGACACCGGGCCATTCACAAAGTCAAGCGCTTCGCGCGCATGTGCAGTGGGCACCCGGCTGTCACAGCCGGGTGCCCACAGTAAAGGGAGGACAACTCCACGGAAGTGTGAGCAGGTAGCTGTCAAATTCCGGTACCCGCTCCCCCCTCCCTCCCTAAAGGTCCGCAATCTCTGGGTCATCCCCTGCACTGTGTCCGCAGTCTCTGGGTCATCCCCTGCACTGTGTCCGCAGTCTCTGGGTCATCCCCTGCACTGTGTCCGCAGTCTCTGGGTCATCCCCTGCACTGTGTCCGCAGTCTCTGGGTCATCCCCTGCACTGTGTCCGCAGTCTCTGGGTCATCCCCTGCACTGTGTCCGCAGTCTCTGGGTCATCCCCTGCACTGTGTCCGCAGTCTCTGGGTCATCCCCTGCACTGTGTCCGCAGTCTCTGGGTCATCCCCTGCACTGTGTCCGCAGTCTCTGGTCATCTCCTGCACTGTGTCCGCAGTCTCTGGTCATCTCCTGCACTGTGTCCGCAGTCTCTGGTCATCTCCTGCACTGTGTCCGCAGTCTCTGGTCATCTCCTGTACTGTTTCCGCAGTCTCTGGTCATCCCATGTACTGTGTCCGCAGTCTCTGGTCATCTCCTGCACTGTGTCCGCAGTCTCTGGTCATCTCCTGTACTGTGTCCGCAGTCTCTGGTCATCCCATGTACTGTGTCCGCAGTCTCTGGTCATCTCCTGCACTGTGTCCGCGGTCTCTGGTCATCTCCTGCACTGTGTCCGCGGTCTCTGGTCATCTCCTGCACTGTGTCCGCGGTCTCTGGTCATCTCCTGTACTGTGTCCGCAGTCTCTGGTCATCCCATGTACTGTGTCCGCAGTCTCTGGTCATCCCATGTACTGTGTCCGCAGTCTCTGGTCATCTCCTGCACTGTGTCCGCAGTCTCTGGTCATCTCCTGTACTGTGTCCGCAGTCTCTGGTCATCCCGTGTACTGTGTCCGCAGTCTCTGGTCATCCCCTGTACTGTGTCCGCAGTCTCTGGTCATCCCCTGCACTGTGTCCGCAGTCTCTGGTCATCCCATGTACTGTGTCCGCAGTCTCTGGTCATCCCATGTACTGTGTCCGCAGTCTCTGGTCATCCCATGTACTGTGTCCGCAGTCTCTGGTCATCCCATGTACTGTGTCCGCAGTCTCTGGTCATCCCATGTACTGTGTCCGCAGTCTCTGGTCATCCCATGTACTGTGTCCGCAGTCTCTGGTCATCCCATGTACTGTGTCCGCAGTCCATTGGTTCAGAATATTTTTCTTGTTTTTCTCCTCTAAAACCTAGGCGCGTCTTATGGAGCAAAAAATACGGTAATATGAGGTCAAACCTAAACACTTTCAATTGTATCCAATTAGGCGGGCTCTTGCACTACATAGTTGAAGGTAAAGCTAAAGGAAATTGGGCAGAAAATTGTATAGTGTACGGCCAGCCTAAGAGTTCTTTTTCTGCTACCCGAGACCTAAGCAAGCAATTATCCCTGGTAGTGAGGAGGCAGCCCCACTGCAAGGAAAGGGGAGGGCATTTTCCCATTGAGATTTTTTTTTTTTTTAAAGCAAAGCATATTTGCTGCAATACTCAGATTCACTTCTTTTGGGCCTAGCCTGTCATGTACCTGTCCCCTGGGCCTAGGGTATTACTGCACTGAATGATGCTCATGCATAATTATATGTAGGACGTTCAATGCAGGAGTATGGACTGAGCAAAGAGTAGGGGGGGGGGGATAGAGTGAGCGTTTACAGGGACCTTACCTACACATTGCTCTGTCTCACCAATTCCTGCAGTCATGTTTTCTGCCACATCCTGGCTGTTATCGATTTTCAATCGTTTTGGTGGCGGCTCCTCAGCCTCTTCATCTGAAGACTAACAAAGCAGCTGATTAATGACAGTAAAATCAACTAGCAGTAGTCTGAAGCAGCTTGTGAATAATTAGACTTGTACCTCGCCTTCATGTTCCTCAATCTGTGTCTCCTTCTCAACCGTAACTGAAGAAGAGGATGAGGCTGCATTGACCGTCATCTCTTTGGAAATGCCCAGTGATTCTGCCACCTAAGAGGAAATAAATACATCATTTGTTTTTATACAGGATTTATATAACACCAACAGTTTGCGTGTCGCTTTAAAATATAAGAGACAGTACAGTTACAATGCAATTCAATACAAGTGGGATTAGGAGGGCCCTGCCCATGGAGCTTACTATGTAATAAAATAAATATACTTAAAAAGAATAAGTTCACCTTTGCGAACATGTTACATGTTCCGCCCGTTTTTAGGGTGGAACATGTAACATGTTCCCATAGCCACAGCACCCCTCCCCTCCTCTGACAGATAGATAGTACGGGGAGAGGTCTCCCCGTACTGTCAAAATTTGACAACAGCGTGGCCACATCATTCGTTCACGGACTTCCGTGAATTAATGAACTGCAAGTGTCCAGACATCCTTAGCGGATCTCTGCTTCTAGTTTTCAATAAAATACCATGGCGCTGTGGAGCGGTTCATTGAAGCTTCCTGTGAGATTATCTGTTTGCTTGTGCACTCTGTACAGTATGCAGATATTCTGACAGGTCTGCAGGAGACCTGCATACCACCACCGATCTACAGATCGCTGGTGCAATGCCTTCCAGGCTCCTGCAGACAAAAACAATCAATGCACATTTTTTTTTTCCTGCAATTACTGTGCATTTATTATTTTTGACTAAAGGTGAACTTAACCTTCAAAGCGGGACCGGATGGAGCCAGGGACCCCAAAGACTGGTGAAGAAACTGGCCAGGGAGGGTGGCGCTGGATCCTTGGACAGGCGAGTGTCTGTTTATTACAAGTTTTTGTAGCTGTTAACTTAAATTTTTGTAACCCAAGCTGAAGCTCTAAGGTTCTGTGTGACTGTTCTGTCTACAATATAGTCAGTTATAGCCTCGGTAATTATCTTGTGGCCTTACTACATTTAAAACTGAACCCCAGCAATAAGTACACAGCAGCAATAATTATATGCAAAATGTTTTACTTGTAGAAAGATATGCACTTATGACCAGCATTCTTGAGATCAAGCCACCCTTGCCAGACAGTACAGCCAGATCAGTGATTTCATTTTTATTTACTGTAGTTAAAAAGCATTTCTCTAGATGAATTTTTTTTTTTTTTTTTTTTTCTTAAACACACCTTTGGATGGAGTGTGGAAGGGTTAGACCCTCTGTCAATTATTCCATAATTTAACAATTGTCCCTTGAAAAAACAAAATTATATAGATATCAGAAGTTGCAATCCAAAAAGGGACGGAGATTTCCACTTATTTCCTTTTTGTGTCTCCAAGACAAGAAGTAAAGAAAAATCTCCCTATAGGAACATGGCAAAAACTGTGACAAAGATGTGAATTCTATTTACTTTGAAGCAGAGCTCCAGTCAAAAACGTAAAAAAAAAAAACCACTAACAGCTGACTTTTAAAATACATTCACCTGTCCTTCGATCCAGCAGGGTCTGTCCTCTCCTCCTGGGCATCTTGTGTGGGCACCTGGCTGTGACAGCCAGGTGCCCACTGCATATGTGTGAGTAGTGCCGTGCCTTAAGAATGGTCCTGTAGTCTTCTGGCATCTGTCATGTGTCCCAGAAGACTATGGGGGGGGGGGGGGGAATGACAACTTTTGCTTCTGATCCTCTAGGCCACAGGTGTCAAACACAAGGCCCGCAGGCCAAATCTGGCCCTCCAGGCCATTTTATGTGGCCCTTGCACCTCTCCTGCAGGTACCCCCTTGTCTCAGCATTCAGCATACTCTGGAAACTGACTCTGGTCCTCCTCAAGACTCTGCACTTTCTGCTTTCCAGCTCTGCCCCCAAAAAGGTGCACGGTGATGTTAATGAAATTCTTGATATCTGACGTAAGGGGGGGGGGTTTGGACATCTAGTTTTACAGATACAACCTTTGAGGGCAACCATAATGCTGAAAAGGCCTGCGATGAAATGGAGTTTGACACCCCTGGTCTAGGCAGTCGAAGTGGAGCAGAGAGCAGGTACCTGTCAAAATCATGTACCCGTTCCCCCCCCACTCCCAAAAGGTGCCAACCCACAATGGGGAGTGGGGGACGAGGCCTTAAAGCAGAACTTCCCTTTTTGGATAGAGCTTTGCTTTAAGAAGACTCACCTTTTCTGTATCCAAGATGGGAAACAAAAATAAATGCTTTTGGCCCTAGGCCCATCTTGTCATTTAATCCTCAAGCCACAGTCTTTACTACCCACTGAAGTTTGAATAATAAAAAAAAAAAAAAAAAAAACACCCCAACACATTTCTGACAATTTCACTTTCAATACTTTTGTGGCAGATTCTGCTTTAAAAAAAAAAAAAAAAAAAAAAGGAGTACAAGCCAGAATTTCCGTAGGTCAGTATTGCGCCAACGCACCTTGCTATCAGTTACTTCAAGAGGTTTTTCAACATTTTGATCCATGTTGATGACATATTCCTCAGCCATGTTCTTGACCATGGAATGTAGCTTTTCAAACTCCCTGTAAACATGAGGAAACAGTGGTTTGTTGTCCACATGCTCTTGTTTCACCTGTAAAGCAAAGAAAAAAAAAAAAGTAAATTAACCACTTCCAGTCCGGACGCTTTTACCCCCTTCCTGTCCAGGCCAATTTTCAGCTTTCAGCGCTATCACACTTTGAATGACAATTGCGCGGGTCATGCAACACTGTACCCATATGAAATTTTTAGCATTTTTTTGAGACAGATAAAACTTTATTTTGGTGGTATTTATTCACCACTGGGATTATTTTTTTGCTATGTAAATTAAAAAGTCCAAAAATTGTGAAAAAAAAAAAAAAAAAAAAAAAAGTGTTTTTCTTATAAAAAATTTAGCAAAATTTTTAGTAGTTCATCATAAATCTTTGTCAAAATGTATTCCGTTATATTTTTAGTATAAAAAAAAAAAAATATATTATATATATATATATATATATATATATATATATCCCAAATTAGTTTATAACCAAAAATAAATATTTATTTTTTGTTTTATATTTATTTCTTTTTTTACATACTGTCATCCTAGCAGTAGTGTGTCACCATGGTGACACTGTACTACTTGTGGGGGGTGATGAAGATTTTTTTTTTTTTTACACTGATTGCTTTTACACCCATATAGGATGTAAAAGCAATCATTTCTCCTCTCTGTCTGCATTCTTGCAGCCATTGAGAACTACTGAGTGAGCTGTGATTGCTCACAGCTTGCCACATGGTTCAAGGCTGTTGTGAATAGCCTTGTACCATGTGACCTCAGTGATCATTCACAGATTTCACACGTAGTAAGCAATGATGTCACAAGTGACATCTTGCTTACTACTTTGCATGTGATCACTGATTGGCCAATCGGCGATCACATGATCAGGACCTCGCACAGAGGTCCTGTCCGACGATTGGTGTTCCACTGTGTCTGGAGTACACAGCGAGTACCGGATTTATAAACGGCCACCCGCCCCTGCACTGCCAACGTCCGGCCGTTTATATACAACGGCCGGACGGGAGGTGGTTAAAGGACCCTCAATGTTTTGCTGTAAGGAGGAATTGTCACCCTAGATGTTTCACACTCCCTTCACATGTGCAAGAAAGATAGCCAAAAAGTCAAGCCACCTATAATGAACTTTACCCTAAATGGGAGGGACAAAGAGGGTTTCCAGTTGTAAAAGCCCCAGCTGTACATATTCCACATGCAGTTTCAGCAGAACTTCAGCACAAAATGTGGCTTTAGGGCCATCAGCAGAGATAACTAGAAAAATACAAACATCTGATACACTAACCTTCAGAAGCAAAAAGTCATAGACCGACAGCAGCTTGGTAAAACTTGGTGCTACTTGTTCTTTTAAATCCTTATCTTCACACTGCTGGATCAGCTGGAATAAAAACAAAAAGATTACTTTCCTACAACCTCTGGAAAATGATTTACACATAAGAGTAAGGCTCTTTGCACACAGAGCTGTCTAACTGCTTTGCATTCTTCCCGATATTTAGAGGAGAAGTCCAGCCAAAGTTGAAGCCGCCGTCGGCTGATGTCACTCATCCGGTCCAAGCTGGGGAAAGATGCGGACTGTAAAGTCAAGATCCACCCGTGTGTCTGGAGTAGCACCTGGCTCAGCCTCTCAGTGAGCTGCCGAGAGCCTGAGCCAGCAGCTCCCTCCCCCTCCACAGCCCAGCACTCCAGTGGCTCAGTGTCACCGCTCTCTGCTCTATGGCTCTATGGCTATGAGAACTCAGTGAACAGCGGTTATGTGATGAGTTCACACTTGGAGCCAGCTGCATCCACCTAGGCAAGTAGGATTTAGAAAAAAAAAAAAAAAAATCTCATACTTAAAAGCGGAGTTCCACCTGGAAAAAAAAAAAAGTCAGCAGCTACAAAAATTGTAGCGGATGAGTTTTAAAATACAGTCACTTATCTGTCCCTCGTTCCAGCGGTGTCCTCACCAGCGCTGGTTTCACCAGCCGTCTCCTCTTCCTGGCGCCGGCATCTTCAGCGTGGGCACCCGGCTGTGACAGCTTACGGCTTCACAGCCGGGTGCCCACTGCGCATGCAGTGTCCCAGAAGACTACGGGGAGTGAGGGGGGGGGGTATACAACTTCCATTTCCGATCGCCGCGGGGACCCGCTCCCCAAAGGTGCCAATCCTTAATGGGGAGCGGGGGATAGAGGCTTAAGGCAGAACTTTCCCTTTTGGGTGGAGGTGCACTTTAAGTGTGTCCGGGAGAAACAAGTACATAGCCCTGCCCCGGAAAGGAATTCTATGCATGGTCTTCTCCACTCTGGGCATTTGACCCAGAACACAGAGCCCTAAAAAGGCAGGTACAGAGTTTAGCCCTGTCCAATAAAAGCCTGTCAGACTTCACCAGGCTGCTGGCTCCGGGTCTGGATTCTGCAACTATTCCCCCAGGACATACTAAAACCTTAGGAGGAATGCACTGCGATCAGGAAGCTGCATGTGCAAGGGGCCTAAAATGTAAGTGCTGGCATGACTCTTCCCTGACTTCATTAATGCTCCAATTGCAATTCCACTGCACAATGAGAGAATCCTTCTTGGCACCAATGCAGTCTCATTGCACAGAGAAATAGCAGTAGGTGCAGCTTAGCTGTAAAGTCATGGAAAGTCAGTCTGCAATAACAAATACATTGGGGAGGAAACACTGCTAGCTTCTAAAGGTAATAATAGGCTCCTATGGTGTCAGGTAGGTGTGTGTATATTTATTAAAATAAATAAGGGTTTAATGTATTTACGCACTTCTTTTACTGACAATGCATGTTCTTCTACGGTTCCATTACGCAATATTTTACGAGGACGTCCAAACCTCCTCCCGGACATCTGCCGACGACCTCTGCCTGGCGTTGTCACTTGTACAATCTCCAAACCATCCCTAGCCAAAGTCTGCTGGCTGGACACGCTGGGGGTCGCAGGATCTTCCAACAATCTCTTTCGAGGCCTTGGGGTGGGCTTCTACAACACAAGAAAATCAAGTGGACCTGTAAATTTGAATTTCAGTCTAGTGTTTTCAGGGGTAAAGAAAAGCAAGTGATTGGCTGCATTAAACAATGTACCTGGTCTTACCCAATTACCAGTATCTTTCCTGGGGAGTCTTGCTGGATCCCAGGAACAAGCGGCACTTGTGGTCTCAGCTTCTCACAGAGTTAAAATAAACCACTTACCACCCCACCATAGTACATTTACTGCGGCAGGCAGTGTCACATATATACGTAATTCTGCCTCTTCTAGGTTAGGAACGCACAACACAACTCATGTGACCGCTGCGTCCAACCCGGTATCATGTGATTGCTATAACTGGTCATAGTGATCACATGATAAAGTACACAACTTGTTATGAATGGCTTTCCATCCATCCCGAGCAGTGTGCCCGAGCCGACAGGGAGGAGGACTGTTAGTAAATAAAAGCAGCCCTCCTCCCCGTCGGAGATCCTCTGTAATCACCAAGCGCCGCCGGGTAACCACCAGCCGTGACCCGGTGACTGACAGCCATGAATGGCAGCGCGGGTAGGGCGCGCGCGTCCCCTACCAGGAAACATATTCACATATATAATTTTGCTCACCCCTGCCACCCTGTAGCAGTATAGCTGCTATAGGGCAGTCGGGATGTGGGTAACAAATAGTTTAATAGTTTACTGTGGAATGTTTTTATATATATATATATATATATATATATATATATATATATATATATATATATATATATATATATATATATATATATATATATATATATATATACACACACACATATACACACACACACATATACACATACATACATATATACACACATATACACATACATACATACATACATATACACACACACTCTATCCACACATATATATATATACACACACACACACACACACACACACACACACACACACACACACGAAAAAAAAAAAACATTCCACAACACACCCCAACCACTGAGGGTCTAAAGTGGTAATAAACGCAACAAAATGTAATACGTTGCAGCCTAAACCTTATATGTGGTGGCTACATTACATACTTCCTCTCTCAGTGTGTCTTCACTCTGGATGGAGGAGCAGCGGAGACACCTCTGGCAGCAGCACTGGCAGCCTGGCAAGAGGGTAGTGTTAGATGTAATAGATTTAGATGGACTTGACTAACAAAGCTGAACTTCGGCTAACACCAAGTAGTCATAGCACTATCCCCCCCCCCTTCCTTCTTGAGATAAAGGTTTTACATAAATAAAAGATGATCATTGTAAGCACCAGTCAGTGGCAAATGGTTTGTCTCAACCCTCTGACATTTTGCCTGGACAGCTTGGTCTGTTAATCGCTTCCAGCTGTCTGCACACATAAAACAGCCTCAGTGAAGCAGGTCATCTTCTGGGAGCACACTGCATAGCGCATTCTCATCGAGAGCCCCGAGTCTTGTACTAATGATTAGGAACTGGGACTCCTGGTTCCTAATCACCTGAGCTCTGTGATAGCCTCTGATTGGCTAACATGGTGATCAGTCACTGTGCAGTCCAACCATGTAGTTTGTTTTCTCCTCTGAATAGACAAAAGATATAGAAATGTGTGTAAAGATAAGTAAATAGGTAGATCAGGGTATGACCTAGGTCAGTGTCAGGGTTAAGGTCGGTGTATTTTAGGTAGTATTAAAACTTTTTTAAACCACTTTAGCTCAAATGACGTACCGGTATGTTCTGGGGAGTTAGCTGGTTATGCCAGGATGATGCCTGCAGCTACAGGCATCATCCTAGTAAGTTTGCTTTTTTTTTTCTGCTAGCAATGGACTTTTTTGTAAAAGCAATCCTAGCAGCTAATTGGCTGCTGGATAGCTTTTACTGGCAGCAGAAGGTGGTGTCGCCACCACCCACCATTTTTTGTACACTAAAATTAAAATATTTCTTTCCAAAAATTCTCTGTGTGAAAAAAAAACAAGTGAACCAGATGAAGAAGTCACGTGCCCTGTGACGAAACACATTGGGGCGGGGCTTAGATGACATCACCTCGTCCTTTCAGAACTCGGCAAGTGATCTAAGAGTGTATAGTGGAATTCCTGAGCATTGCTATATCTAAGTTTATGAGCTGTATACCTTGGTGCGGGTCGGCACCTTTTTCATGTGAATGCAATATTGATGTTGTTTGTGACATTTAAAGTATTTTAAAGGATAAGACACTATCTGCAACATTCTTTACATGTTATGGAGTGGAGCTTGTGGAAGTAGGAGATTCGCATGTGAAACTGGAGCAGTGTATGCAGAGGAGGATTCAGTCCCGCTGGCAGGACCAAACGTGTTGGGAGATCATATCAGTAAGGTGAGAGTTCACCTGGTGACAGTGGAGCACCGGAGTTGATGTTGCATGCGATACACGGAGATATGTTCTATCCCAAAGCATTGCTGCCATTTAATTTATGAATAGACTTTTTTTAATTTAAGTATTCATTTATGATTTGGACACGTACATTAATATTTATTAGGGATGCACCGAAATTTCGATGGCCGAAACGTTCTGGCCGAAAACACCCATTTCAGCCGTCAGCTGAAATGGGAAAAAAAAAAAAAAAAAAGCACCAATACATGTGCCAAAAGAACCCCGCCCCTCGCCGCCACCACCAGCTCAGTAGTTCAGCCTTACCCGAGGAGCCATTGATCCCGGCGCTAGGCATAGAGATGAGTAAAGGAAAGATGGCAGCCACTCATCTCTATGCCCTTGGAGGACTGGAGCAATGTCACTTCCCGTTCCAGCTTTTTTTTGATCCAATGCTTTACATTGCATAGAAGAGATGTGGTGTCTTATTGACCCCATATCTCTCCATAAAGAGGACCTGTCACTAATTATTTCTATCACAAGGGATACATGCATTTCTTTGGATAAGAATAAAAGTGATTAAATTTTATTTCAAAGGAACAATGCAAAAACAAAAATATATATATTTTTTTTTTTTTAAAGTGCCCTCGTTCTCCCGTGGTCGCATGTAGTGGTGAACTCATATGTAGGCCATGCCCACATATGTAAACTATGTTCAAATCACACATGAGGTATCGCCACGAACGTCAGAGCAAGAGCAATAATTCTCGCACTAGACCTCCTCTGTAACTTTACACTGCTAACCTGTAGAAATTTTTAAAACATCACCCATGGAGATTTTTAGGTACCGCAGTTTCACGCCATTCCACGAGCGTGCACAATTTTAAAGCGTGACATGTTGGGTATCTATTTACTCGTTGTAACATCCTCTTTATAAATTGTGGTATATATTGTTTTTTTTTTAATCAAAGTGTATTTTTTTTAAAAATATATATATTAATTTTTAAAAAAACTGCGCATGTCGGTTTTCGGCAAAGTGCATTTTGAATTTTCGGCTTTGACATTACAATTTTCATTTCGCTGCACCACTAATATTTATATGTGTTGATGGATATACACATAAGTGTGACAGTAATTTTTAGTATCACAGTGTGTTTTTGGGTATTTATTATTTGTGGCTGTCATGCTTGGTATTTAGTAGGATGTCTATATTTATGTGATCAATGCATCACTAATTTTGCTAAATGCCAGTGTGCTCCCAACTTCCCGTAGAAGCATCCACTAGGAAATCTCACCTTCTGTTCCCCTGTGCCTCCACCATCTCCACCTTTTTTGCCTTCCAAAAGAAATGACGAATCCATCTGTCCATGGGCGGGGTAGAGTCTGTAGTGGCGGAACAATCCTCCTTTGCCCATGTAGGACTTCTCACATTTCTGACACTGGAACAGGGAGTTTTTAACCGCGTAGGGCTGCCGGTCTCTAGGTGCTCTCTCTTTGCCACCATCATCTTCATCCTCCGAGCTCATCTCCGAATAATCGTCAGAATCCACAGAGCTGTCCTGAATTGAATCTCCCACTTTAAGGAATTTGTAATCTTTGGCCTTGTGTTTGGGAGGTCGGGAGACGCGCCCCGAACGGGTTTTGATCTTAATGGGCTTTTTGCGCTTCTGTCCCTTCTTGGTGGTGCCTGAGGCATTGCTGCTATACTGATGGTGAGCTACGCAACACCCATGCTCCTCAGCAGAATCCCCGCCCTCATTGCCATCGGGGTCTGGTGCGTTCACCTGGGCTGACTGTGTTGGAGTTTGCTGGATCAGAACTTGAATGGGAGGCTGCATGGCTTTGACGACAAACGGCTGCGATGGCTGAGAGACCGTCTTCACCTGTACAACCTGGGTGGTGACAACACTGCCATTATTAGGTTTCACATTCATGGGGGGAGGCGGGTTTTCTTCTGCGCTCACCGATTCGCTGCTCTCCTTAGGCTTCAAGCCTGGGACTTGGACACAAATGGATTTGAGCTGCTGCAAGAGAACACAAGAAGACGTCATCAATAAACTGCAGCAATGTGTTCATGGCATCAGACAACACGTGTGTACCTACAACTGCCACCCGTCCAATTCTGAACCAGTTACATATGTAGAAGCACTGTGCAGTCCCATAATGGATATAAAGTGTTCAGTGTAGACCCTTCACATAGCTCACTGGACTTTCCTCATGTCACTGTACCCCATCCAGATCTAAATGTGGGACCTACTCCTATATGAATGAATCCTGCAAACACTGAAGGTTTTATTCACAGATAATATAATCCAGCACAGTACTAAAATTTTAAGCAGTGCTACCCCCCCCAGGTGCCCTCACGTACCCCCGCCCCAGGTGCCCTCACGTACCCCCGCCCCAGGTGCCCTCACGTACCCCCGCCCCAGGTGCCCTCACGTACCCCCGCCCCAGGTGCCCTCACGTACCCCCGCCCCAGGTGCCCTCACGTGCTTCTTCACCACCAGAGTTTCCCCTACACTGAAATGCTGCCTTGCCACCAGGGTTTCCTCCATGCTCCCTAGCCACCAGGGTGCCCCCCCCTCCCACGCCGACACCCTCCCTAACCACCAGGGTGCAACCCACGCCTACACGCTCTCTCGCCACCAGGGTGCCCCCGCACGTCGACACGCTCCCTCATCACCAGAGTGCCCTGAGGCGCTTTCCATGCCCCCCACACACTCCCTCACCACCCGAATGCACTGTGCCAACGTGGTCCCTCACCACCTGGGTGCCCCGATGCACCCCCACGCCACCGGGTGCATCCTGCCCCCCACGCCAACATGCTCCCTCGCCACCAGGGTGCCTCCCACACCCCCTCGTCACCAGAGTGCCCTCCATGCCGACACGCTCCCTCACCACCAGGGTGCCCTTATGCTCTCTCGCCACCAGGGTGCCCCCCAAGCTCCCTCGCCACCAGGGTGCCCCCCACGCGAACACACTCTCTTGTCACCAGAGTACCCCCACGCAGACAGACACGCTCCCTCGTCACCAGAGTGCTCTGAGGCACTTTCCATGCTACCCACACACTCCCTCACCACCAGAATGCACTGTGCCAACATGCTCCCACACCACCAGGGTGCCACCATGCACCCTCTTGCCACCAGGGTGCCCCCCCATGACTACATTCTCCCTTCGCTACTAGAATGCCCACCCACACACCCCCTCCTCACTAGGGTGCCCTCCGCGCCCCCAGGGTGCCCCCCCAACGCCAACACGCCACCCTCATCACCAGGGTGCCCCCTCCAAAACCGACACGCCCCCTTCTCGTCACCAGGGTGCTTCCTCCACGCCGCCACCCCCCCTCGTCACCAGGGTGCCTCCTCCACGCCGCCACCCCCCCCCCCCTCGTCACCAGAGTGCCTCCACCACGCCGCCCCCCCCTCATCACCAGGGTGCCTCCTCCACAAAACCACCCCCCCCCCCCCTCGTCACCAGGGTGCCTCCTCCACGCCGACACCCCCCCCCCCCCCCCGTCACCAGGGTGCCTCCTCCACGCCGACACCCCCCCCCCCCCCCCTCGTCACCAGGGTGCCTCCTCCACGCCGACACCCCCCCCCCCTCGTCACCAGGGTGCCTCCTCCACGCCGACACCCCCCCCCCTCGTCACCAGGGTGCCTCCTCCACGCCGACACCCCCCTCTCGTCACCAGGGTGCCTCCTCCACGCCGACACCCCCCCCTCTCGTCACCAGGGTGCCTCCTCCACGCCGACACCCCCCTCTCGTCACCAGGGTGCCTCCTCCACGCCGACACCCCCCCCTCGTCACCAGGGTGCCTCCTCCACGCCGACACCCCCCCTCGTCACCAGGGTGCCTCCTCCACGCCGACACCCCCCCCCCTCGTCACCAGGGTGCCTCCTCCACGCCGACACCCCCCCCCCCCCCCTCGTCACCAGGGTGCCTCCTCCACAAAACCACCCCCCCCCTCGTCACCAGGGTGCCTCCCCACGCCGACACCACCCCCCCCCCCCCGTCACCAGGGTGCCTCCTCCACGCCGACACCCACCCCCCCCGTCACCAGGGTGCCTCCTCCACGCCGACACCACCCCCCCTCATCACCAGGGTGCCTCCTCCACGCCGACACCCCCCCCCCCTCGTCACCAGGGTGCCTCCTCCACGCCGCCGCCCCCCCTCGTCACCAGGGTGCCTCCTCCACGCCGCCGCCCCCCCTCGTCACCAGGGTGCCTCCTCCACGCCGCCGCCCCCCCCCCCCCTCGTCACCAGGGTGCCTCCTCCACGCCGCCGCCCCCCCCCCCCCCTCGTCACCAGGGTGCCTCCTCCACAAAACCACCCCCCCCCCCCCCCTCGTCACCAGGGTGCCTCCTCCACAAAACCACCCCCCCCCCCCCCTCGTCACCAGGGTGCCTCCTCCACAAAACCACCCCCCCCCCTCGTCACCAGGGTGCCTCCTCCACAAAACCACCCCCCCCCCCTCGTCACCAGGGTGCCTCCTCCACAAAACCACCCCCCCCTCGTCACCAGGGTGCCTCCTCCGCGCCGACAACCCCCCCCCTCACCAGGGTGCCTCCTCCGCGCCGACAACCCCCCCCTCACCAGGGTGCCTCCTCCGCGCCGACAACCCCCCCCCCCTCACCAGGGTGCCTCCTCCGCGCCGACAACCCCCCCCCCCCAGGGTGCCTCCTCCGCGCCGACAACCCCCCCCCTCACCAGGGTGCCTCCTCCGCGCCGACACCCCCCCCCCCCCCCCCCCAGGGTGCCTCCTCCGCGCCGACAACCCCCCGAGTGCCTCCTCCGCGCCGACAACCCCCCGAGTGCCTCCTCCGCGCCGACAACCCCCCCCCACCAGGGTGCCTCCTCCACGGGAGTCCATCTCCAACCACAACTTTATATTTCATGGGAGGAGGAAGAGGAGGAGCTTCCTCTGCCAGAACTTTTCTGCCACCTGAGTTCCTATTGGGGAGACTTCCCCTAACCTCCTGTCTGGACAGGATGTCCTGGCACATCACCCTCCTCAGCCAGAATATTCTTCCTGTTGCGATGACAATGCTCCACCTACATCCTGTAGAGGTGTCACAGGAACAGGAAGTGAGTAAATCTTCCTACTGGGGGTCACTGACCAATATTTAATTAAAAAAATAAACTTTTCCCAGCTCCACCCCAAACAAACTTCGTCCCGGAGTTGCACATCATGGCGCCCCGGGCAGGACAGTCACCTTCTGGTTGAGGATCCTGGTCACCTGGTTGGGGACTCCTTGCTTGAGGGCCACATGGTCCGCCACGTTCTTCAGCTGTAGGGCGGCGTCCATCATGCTAGGGGCCCCGATGGTGGCCCCTCCTCCCCCCGTCACCTCGGCCAGGGTTCCCCCGGGCACCAGGCTGCCGTCGGGCTGCACATAGTAGATAGTGTCGGTGTGGGCGATGGTCTGCAACAGCTCTGGACTGATGGTGGCCGCCCCCCTCATCTCCTCCCCGGCCGCCCCCTGCAGGACCACCACCTGCTGCCCGGGCTCCAAGTCCTCGCCGACCACCACCTGCATGTACTCCTCCGCCACTTCTGTCGCCATTTTGTCGTAGCCGCTCGGCGCCGCCATCTTGTCGGAGGGAATGACGCACTTACAACCGCCGCTCAAACCGCCCCGCTCTCCGCCAGGACCGATTCTCAGCCTCCCGCTGCTCGGTCTTGATCGACGACCGTCACGTTTCTAACGAGGGCTTCAGAGGAAGGTCAGGGGCAAGGGGCGTGGCCAGTAGCTCTACGGAGCAGTAGGAAGGCCAATCCGAGCCGCGCGTTTTCCCTCCCGCCTACCAATAAGGTGACCGCGCAGCGGCCAGGGCTGTCACCCACCAGGCATAGTCAATCGAGCGTTGCCCCTGTTCTCGCGCATGATTAATCGATGGCCGAGGAACTAATGATCTCTTATGCAATCCGAGACTGAGCTGTGAAAGTTCGAATGAAAACAAGTCTTGGTGTCATCTGCAGCACCTTTACCTATAAATCAAGGAGCTGTTACATCTTGTAGGCAGGATGCTTGAAATATCACAACCTGACATTTATCTACAGGCCCTTTAAATATAAATCGAAGAGCTGCAATTTATATCCCATAGGTAGGATCCCGCTTTCCAAATCACAGCATAATATACATCTACAGGACTTATAAATTGAAGAGCTGTAATCTATATTTTATAGCAAGGATCACACTCGAACAACCATGGTCATGCTTGCAAAATCATGTCGTGACATTTATCCACAGGTCTTTTGGTTATAAATCGATGAGCTGTAACTTACATCACATAAGCAGGATCGCTCTTTCAAAATCATGGCGTGATATTTATCCACAGGTCTTTTGGTTATAAATCGATGAGCTGTAATTTACATCACATAAGCAGGATCGCTCTTTCAAAATCATGGCGTGATATTTATCTACTGGACTTTTACTTATACATTAAAGAGCTGTGATTTATTTCTTATAGGCAGGATCATACTTGCTCAATCAAGGCATGACATTTATCTGCAGGACTTTTAATTATAAATTGATGAGCTGTAATTAATATCACATAAGAGGATCACGGTATGATATTTATCTACTGGACTTGACCTACTGTGTATATTATAGTCAGGATCATACTAGCTAAATCACAGTGTGACAGTTATCTACAGGCCCTTTATTTATAAATTGATGAGCTGTAATTTATATCACATAGATAGGATCACTCTTTCAAAATCATGGTATGATATTCACCTACAGGACTTTTATTTATAAATGGAAGGGCGGTGACTTACTGCATGAATGAGCTGTAATTGACATCACATAGCCAGGATCACGCTTGAAAAATTCACCGTGTGATACTTATCTACAGGACTTGTACTTATAAATTAAAGAGCTGTGATTTATGTCTTACAGGCAGAATCATGCTTGCAACATGATAGCCAGACATTTTTTGACAGGACTTTTACTTATAAATCGAAGAGCTGTGATTTATATTACGTAGGCTGCATCGCACGTTTAAAATCACGGTATGATATTCATCTATGGGACTTTTACTTACAAATCGTAGAGCTGTAATTTATAGCAAGTAGGCAGGATCGCACGTTTAAAATCACTGTATGATATTCATCTATGGGACTTTTACTTACAAATCGTAGAGCTGTAATTTATATCACGTAGGCTGGATCGCACGTTTAAAATCACGGCATGATATTCATCTACGGGATTTTTACTTATAAATCGAAGAGCTGTAATTTATATCACGTAGGCTGGATCGCATGTTTGAAATCACGGCATGATATTCATCTACGGGATTTTTACTTATAAATCGAAGAGCTGTAATTTATATCACGTAGGCTGGATCGCATGTTTGAAATTACGGTATGATATTCATTTACGGGACTTTTACTTATAAATCGAAGAGCTGTAATTTATATCAATGAGGCTGGCTCACATGTTTAAAATCACGGTATGATATTCATCTACGGGACATTTGCTTACAAATCGAAGAGCTGTAATTTATATCACGTAGGCTGCATCGCACGTTTAAAATCACGGCATGATATTCACCTACGGGACTTTTACTTATAAATCGAAGAGCTGCCATTTATATCGCGTAGGCAGGATCGCACGTTTAAAATCACGGCATGATATTCATCTATGGGACTTTTACTTACAAATCGAAGAGCTGTAATTTATATCACATAGGCTGGATCGCACATTTAAAATTATGGTATGATATTCATTTATGGGACTTTTACTTATAAATCGAAGAGCTGCAATTTATATCACGTAGGCTGGATCGCACGTTTAAAATCACGGCATGATATTCATCTACGGGACTTTTACTTACAAATCGAAGAGCTGCAATTTATATCACGTAGGCTGGATCGCACGTTTAAAATCACGGCATGATATTCATCTACGGGACTTTTACTTACAAATCGAAGAGCTGCAATTTATATCACGTAGGCTGGATCGCACGTTTAAAATCATGGCATGAGATTCATCTACGGGACTTTTACTTACAAATCGAAGAGCTGCAATTTATATCACGTAGGCTGGATCGCACGTTTAAAATCATGGCATGATATTCATCTACGGGACTTTTACTTACAAATCGAAGAGCTGCAATTTATATCACGTAGGCTGGATCGCACATTTAAAATCATGGCATGAGATTCAGAACATTTACTTATAAATTACAGAGCTGTGATCTTTATCTTATAGGCAGGATCATACTTGCAAAATCAAGGCATGACATTTATTTACAGGACTTTTAATTATAAATTGATGAGCTGTAATTAATATCACGTGAGCAGAATTACTCTTTCAAAACAATGGTATGGTATTTATCTACTGCACTTCTACTTATAAATTAAAGAGCTGTGATTTATGTCTTATAGGCAGGATCATGTGTAGGTAGGATCGCTCAAATGCGAGTTTTCTCTGCGATAAAAAAGGTTGTGAAATATTGAAGCAAAATCTTGTAAAAATAAACATCTGTTCCACTTGCGGTGACAACGTGGACCGTGACCTGTAACATGCCATCAGGATCGGTTGACACGGTTCTAACGTGATGAAAATCTCCAAACAGAGGTAATATTACATTTTTAAAAAAAAAGTCATGTGACTGTACAGAGGGGAAAAGATGAGTTGGATTGGAACAGATAGGATGTAAATTTGGGTGAAATCATTGAAGGTATAAAATGTGATAGTAGCAGGATCATGTGATCAGGCATCAAGGAGGGTCTACGATTTGTCTCATTAGACAGCAAACATGTAAAAATCACATGGCCCGTACGGGGATCGAACCCGCGACCTTGGCGTTATTAGCACCACGCTCTAACCAACTGAGCTAACCGGCCGCACTGGTGATTGGTGGCTCTGAACAAAGAATGAGATCAGAGATTCAGTGACAGTTCACAGCTGAAAGATACAATGTACTGGTAGCTGCTAGTCATTATGATGAAGCTTGATGGAGATCACTTACCCTCCAGAGGATTTACCCCCCTTCCTGACCAAACCATTTTTTGCGATACGGCCATGGGCAGACTGACAACTCATGGGGCCCCCGGTCAGTAGGGATCATGGGGCCCCTGTGTCCTTGCCCACACTTAAAGCACACCCAAAAAAGCCTATAAAAAGGTAAAGGGCATTTCATGGGGCCCCCTACTGACCCCGGGCCCTCGAGCAGTGCTCGAATGGTCAGTCCGCCCCTGGATACGGCGCTGCATTACTTTGACAATTGCGCGGTCATGCAACGCTGCACCCAAATTACTGGTGATTGGTGGCTCTGTACAAAGAATGGGATCAGAGATACAGTGACAGTTCACAGCTGAAAGATACAATGTACTGGTAACTGCTAGTCACTATGATGAAGCTTGATGGAGATCACTTGCCCTTTTTCCCCACAAACAGAGCTTTCTTTCGGTGGTATTTGATCGCCTCTGCGTTTTTTTATTTTATACAAAAGAACGACAATTTAAAAAAAATATATATATTTTTGACTTTTTGCTATAAAACATATCCTGTAAAAAAAAATTAAAAAAATCAAATTTCGTCCTAAATTTAGACCATAATGTATTCTGCTCCATATCTTTGCTAAAAAAAATCCCAATTCCTGTAAATTAATTGGTTTACGTGAAAGTTATAGCGTCTACAAATGGCGGTATGCAGGGGCGGACTGACAACTGATGGGGCCCCCGGGCAATAGGGAATCATGGGGCCCCTGTGTCCTTGCCCAAACTCAAAAAAGCCTATGAAAAAGGTACCAGGGGCATCCCATGGGGCCCCCTACTGACACCGGGCCCTCAGGCAGTGGCCGAGTTTCCAAATGGTCAGTCTGCCCCTGGCAGTATGTATAGTGGGATTTTTATCTTTTATTTTTTATACTAATGGCAGCGATCAGCGACTTATAGCAGGACTGGGCGGGCATTCTTACACCGGGGGGGGAAACTCACTAACTGCCACTGACATCCCCAGTGACACCAATACAGTGATCAGTGCTAATAAAAAGCGCTTACACTATACTAATGACACTGGGCAGGAAGGGGTTAACATCTGGGGCGATCAAAGGGTTAACTGTGTGTGGTTTTAGCCCTCATGCACACTTGACGTTTTTTTACAGCGGCTGTTTTTGGTGCTTGACTTTTTTTTCTACAGCCAATGAACTCCCCAGCATGGTATCCTATGTGTCCATACACACATAGACTGTAATCAACGTTTTTTGGCTGGAAAAAAAAAAAAATAGTGGGTTTCTAGAGTAGTTTTTCAGCTGCAAAACACGGTAAAATGCCGCAAACCGGCATTTTTGGACCAAAAAAAAATGCTAAAACCGCAAGAGCGGAAAAAAACGCGTCAAGACGCTGCTAAATGCCAATGCAAAAAAAACTGAAAAACTTGCGTTTTTAACATGACTTTACACAGCAAACGTTATCAGTATTAGCAAAGCGTCTCGCGCGTATGAGGTCTAACTGTGTAAGTATGCTATGCAGAGCCATACAAAGCAGTGTGAAGGAGCTGACAGGGGAGAGATCTGTATTGTTTACATACAGACCTCGACCCTGTGCAGGGGTAGGCAACCGGCGGCTCTCCAGCTGTTG